GAGAAAGATTGGCAACAGATGTTAGCTCAGAGTGAATCTTTCCCAGCAAAAAAAAAAAGGAAAGAAAGAAATGATAAGATCCTTTACAAAAAAGAAAATTTTGTTAGACAGCCCCTCTTGATCCTCTAGTCCCTGGTCCTTTCTAAATGCTCTAGAAGTTTCTGGCAGAAAGATCTAGGGCATTATCCAAAAAAAATGCTCAATATAAACAATAATAATTATAATGAACAATATAATGTATCAATATGATGAACTATATATATAAAATTAAATTAAATTAAATATAAATTAAATATGAAATATATAATATTTAAATAGGGTTCTTATTCTGTCATAGAGCATGTATTACTATCATGATGCAGACAAGGCAATACATTAAAAAACTATCACATCACTGGAACAATATCAGAATGAACAGACAGCATTAAAAAAAAAAACTCTGTTAGTGGGATGATTGCCGCTAATGGGCAAGGATGAAAAATAAAGCTACTGAGTACTGAAGATAAAGAATAGTTCCATCCAGAACCCTGCAGCCATATTTTACTCCCATTGGGTTATTATAAAGAATAACATAAGCTTTTGGGATCTCTTTTCCTTTTAATTATAGAATCCGCCCATTAACTAAACCACTTCCTCATCTCATTACCAAGTGGGTACATTTTCTGAGTTTACAAATGGGAATTAGGTTCTACTTCCTTCACATGCTGGCATTCTTGATTATTCAGTTCCTGCCTTTTTTCCCCTCCCCAGGGAAATTTCACACACAATTAGCAATTATCTAGATGCCAACACTTTCTTTTCTTTTTTTTGTTCCAAACACTTTCAAATCCTTCTTCCTAACACAGTATCTCTTGAGTGCTAAGCCTACCGGACTCTGGATGTACCATGTGCACTCAGCCTCAGTGTATCCCAAACTGAACTCTCTCCCAGCATTACCCTATCCAGTGCTCCTGTATTTCCTTAGTTAGTAGCAACCATTTGTCCACCCAGGCAGTCCAACCAGAAACCTGGATTCTTCTTCACACCTCACATACTATCAACCTTAACTTTAAATGTCTCTTAAATCTGTCCTCTGTTTTCTATCACACCTGCTGCTACCTTACATTACATTTTCACCTGGAACACCATTATATCTCCCCCAGGGGTCTCCCTGCCTCTAGTCTGCATCCTGTCTCTCTCTCCAAGACAGCACGTATTACTAAGTATCATAAATGTTGCTTATTTATGTCTCTTCAAATAGCCCATGAGTTCTTTGAGGACAACCATGGTGTGTTGTCTCTTTCTATTCTCAGTACTTAGCACGGTATCCCGCATGGAGTCTGTGTTCAATTAACATTTACTAATTGGATAAATTAGACCATCAGATCCCAAGATGTCAGAAATTTCAGGAAGTGAGATGGGTTCACCAACAAAATTTCTGCTCACCAACCCTGAGCCTGTTACAGCTAAACCTGTGAAGCCACGGACTGGTCATCGGTTTCGGTTTGTGCTATGACCTTTAATTCCTCCACAGCACCCCTGCCTTCGTACTTGTCTAGCTCTCATGTAAGATGTTCAGTGTCCTCTTTCTCCCTCTCCTTTCAAAATCCATTCTTGGTGAAAGAGTTCATTTCTGCTCTTTATTCCTACAGGTGTTTGCATTTAAGGGCTTTCTTTCTAATTGTGGAAAGCAACCTCTGGCTCCATTCAAGAACTAGGAGGCTTTGGCGACACAGTATATGTGTGAAGGAGAACAGGATGGGAGGGAGAGGAGAGAACTCGAGGGAGAAATTCTGGCTGGCCCTGAAATCACAGTCGGAACCTGAAGGTTTCTCCTCTGCACTCAGCCAGCTCTTGACCAAAAGGCCAGGCTTGTTTTAGCAAGTGCTCTGCACCCCGAATCCCCTGTCCCAGGGCATCAGCTCACTGTCTGAACATGACACCTTTACTTTAGATGTAACAAAAAGAAAACAAAGCTGTTATTTCAAGACTTAGCTCCAGTCAGGGCCACTCAGGTGAGGAGGAAAACAGCATTCCTCAAGGAGAAGACTTCTGTTTCTTCTGGGAAACCAACCTAATGGACTTACAAAAGTAAAGACCTTAAGGGAATTTAGAGTCCTGATCTGGCAGTGAGGGAGAAGGAAATTGGGGTCCCTGGAATCGAGGGGAGAAGGGTCTTTGTAGAGAGAGGAAGCCCTACCAAGACAGTGGCAGCTGAGATTCTGAATAAGTATAAGAAATGGCCCTCATTGTACTTTCTGCTCAATTTTTCTGTGAACCTAAAACTGCTCTAAAAATTAAAGTCTATTATTTTGAAAAAGAAAGAAAGAAATGCCCCCGGCCAATGACACATTTCTTGTTTTGGAGATGGCATGAGAATACTAGGGCAGTTGTTGCCTATTCTGTGCTATAACTTCCCTCCGTTACCCAAACCTTCAGTAACTCTGCTGAAAACAGCTGCCTTGTGCGGCGGTACCCTGGGAAAAGGAGGAAGAGGAATGGTGGCCAGCGTGGGGTGAAGCAATGCAAAAGGCACAGCACTCACAAAGGGGGACCAAGAATTTGGTACCGGCAAGAATTTGCAGCAAGAGGGGACCACAAGAATGCAAACCTCAAGCAATCTCTAGAACTGTGCTGTCCCATGCTGTAGCCACTTGAAACGTGACGAGTCCAAATTGAGATGTGCTGTTAAGCCAGTATGAAAAAAACATAAAGAATGTCAAGCATCTCAACAAATTTTATATTAATTTCATGTTGAAATGATAATATTTTGGGTATATATGGATAAATAAAATATAATGTGACAGTTAATTGCACCTGTCCCTTTTTACCTTTTTAGTATAGCTATTAGAAAATTTAGAATTACATATGTGGCTTCTATCATATTTCTCTTGGACAACACTACTCTAGAATCTTGGGGAAAAGGCATGAATTTGCTAGAATGTAAGGCATAGGGAACTTAAACCACTTTCTTTGGATATTAAAGAAAAGGGTGACGCCAGGAAGCTGGGGACATAAGACGGTAGACATTAATTGTGAGATTAATTGTGAGAAAATACAAATTTACGAGAAGAGATGACATATTTTAGTAAAGTTTTGTTAAAATAAATGTAATTCCTACAAACAGCAAGTGCTCTTAAAATATGATTCAGTTTGTACAAAAATTCAGCTTTTCAGGAACATGTTGATAGCATGAAACAACGCATATGTGGTACAACTTTCCAACATAAATAACTTATATTCAGTCCTTAGATTTAAACCAGAAGAGAAAAAAGCAAGGAAGCTTCCAGCCCGCGGGGGATAAACGAACGTGTCGTCTAATACCTTGATGTGTTGAACAGTGACTACTCAGACCTGAGATTAACACTTTATACTTTCAACTAGAAATATAAAATACATACAGGGCTACAGTTGTTTACAGATTGTACTTATTTCCTACTGAATCTACCCCTTGAACCACGTCTTACGAAACTAAAGAGCGAAAAACAATACAAAACACAATGTCTGATTCCAAGTTAGCCAATCTGGATGTAACCAGAAAGTATTTTTTTCTCTGACATGCTACCTAAGAGGCTCTAATTCAGTACCTCTGGGTTCTATATTACACACATACATGGTTATGTGTGTATGGAATTGGCAAACTTCAGACCTGGGGTGATTTAAATATCACATAATCTAGTCTCTTTATTTTACAGATAAGGACGTGGAGCCACAGAGAGACAGGAAACTTGTTGAGATGACAGAGCTGCTTAGTTGGCAATGGCGGGACTCAAGCCACACAGAGTGGCAGTGCAGTCAGTACCCTGGGTGTGACCCTGGTGTTTCCTGATGACCAACTAGGGTTGTCTGAAACCTGGGGATTTACTGTACTTACCCATAGAGGTTTTCAAGAGGATTAAAGAATCTGTCTCTATAAGATATGCATCATAGCCTTTTTAATCTATGGCATGCTCATTGGGAGTTAAACTCATGCCCTCCCTTCCCCTTGGATCTTTTCACTGGAGCTATATGCTAGTGCTCTTTCTCCTGAAAAGTCTACACTCTGTGGACTCCAGAAAACTCCCAATCCTCTTTTTTTCATGTGTTTGAGGGTCACTAGGTAGCCTGGAGTCTACTTGAGAGGCTGCCTGGCCACGGACAGATGGCTTAAGATGGCTATGCTGAGTTCATAACCTAAGACACTCAAAATGGAAGGCGCTTCCCAGGGATGAAGGTGGTTACCATGTTCACAGTGCAGAGTAAAGCCACACAGCAGCTCAAAGTCTTGTCCCTCTTCTATCTCTCTTCCTACTTTCCTCTACTCCAACTGAGCTACGCAGGCATGTCCTCAGCTCAAGGAACCTACTTCTCAAACAAACACACAAAAACCACTCTCTTCTTCCTCTTTTTCCCCACTCAGCTATGCCCTGGCTCCAGAATAACAGGTCAGCATATTTCATACCAAGATGCCAACAGTTATAAAACCCAAAAGGGAGGATTGTTAATGAAAATCAACCCCCAACTGGTAGCTTCTTGGATGGGAGGTATTTTTCTGCTTGGAGGCCTTCCAAGTGTTCTTGCTTAATTCTCACTTCTCAACACACACACACACACACACACACACACACACACACGCAACCCATACATACCCCACAGTTCCAGTGAGTTAGAACCCCAATCTTACAGGTTTTTCAGCCATCCTATAAGTAATGGCTATTGGGACAATTGTGGTAGGAGTCCCTCATTTCAGAGGAAAAGACATACAAAGGACAAAACACAAAACTGCATTTTTACTGATCTTCCACAATTAGTCCCCGCTCCCAGGATGAGGAACCTCAGCAAACACCCAAAGCCCTGTGTACCACTCGGTCTCCCCTTTGAGTCTAATCCACTCTTAAACTAGAGAAGGTAAGTGATTCCAGGGCTTCTGAGCACGTTCACTCATCGTCCAGTGACCTGGTCTGGAGTTAAGCGGATGGGCAGACCCCAAGGCAGCACCGATTGTGACCTGCCACTAAGCCAGGGAGCACGAGGCACTGTACCTTTGCAGGTGAAACATTTGATGTGGAAATGTTTGGTCTGGACCCGAAGCACTTCGCCCTTGCACGGTTCCCCACATTTATGGCAGTGAATGACCGGCTTCTCGGATGGGTGGTGAGGGTCCTGTGGGTGGGCCACTGAAAGAAAAGCAACAAAAGACCATATGAGTAGAAAGCATTCCTACAAAAGGGGTCTTTATAGGCGTGCATAAATAGCCCCATAATTTTGGTATCAAGTAGCCAACATTGATTCAGTAAGTGTGAATTCAGCCCCTCTCCCCATGCCATAATCATGAGGATACACAAAGAAACAAAGAAAGCCGTGGCTTTTAATAGTCCAGTAGGGAAAACACCGGGCTTGCTCCTCTGGGAGCCACAGTTCTCTTGTTTCTTCCCAAACTTCTCCAGGACCACATAACTGGGTCACTAAATATATGATCTTGTTTGGTTCAATGTTTTGTAATACGTATCTGTAATATGACTTTATCTTGGTTTAGAAAGCACTGCTTTCAGTGAAGAGCGCACTGCAAACTGTAAGTTCCTGGAGGATGGGGACCATTTCTTAAAGCTCATATTTTTTCCCTTCCCATTTTACTTCTCCTTCCTTCCCCCAGCTCCTCAGACCACAGCAGAATGCTCACGCTCCAAAGGAGCTCAGCAAATGTTTATTTACTTAACGTTAGTATGTGCCGGCTAGTTCCTCGTCTGCTCTACCAGAGTCATTCCTGATCTTAACTTGCCAACTCATTTAACCCATTGGAGGCCTATTATAAGCCTTAGTGTGTGCACACTTCCTGATACATACGCTGCATGCAGTAATTTTTTAAAAAATTAATTAGTAACTATGTGGATCTCTCTGGACCTCAGTTTCCTCCCCTGTAAAAAAAGGGGATTGGACCAGAGGATTTCGAAGGTCTTTTCAGGCTCTAAAACCACATGATGGGGCTTACAGGGATTATTCTCTGAGTTTCCAGGGTGTGGCCTTCAGAGAATAGAAGTTATTGAGATTGCCCTGCCCCAGGAATAGGATTCACAGCCTCCTCTTTACAAGAGAGAGAAGGCAGGGAGAGGACACCTGTGGCTTTAGCTAACCAAGGGTCTCATTTAACCTGCAGTTTCCCAGCCAGAGAATGCAGTTAGATACTTTTTGCTATTAAATTCCTTTTCTGATTCGGGTCCTCAGAAGGAGGAACTGTGTGATATATAAAAACGTGTTACAGAAGTACCTACATGAGCATGATATGGGATAAGAACAGTGACCCTAAAATTAATCAACCAACACAAAGAACAAAGATGATTTTTTTCCTCAAATGGCAAACCCGGGTTGGACAGGAGGGAGATGTGGGAAGATATTGCTGAGACTCCATTTTGCAACACCTTGCAGCCAGGACCTCTCCATACACCACAAGTATAATCGTTCATTGTCCCTCTCAGACCACTGTAACGTTCTCATTTTGCCTGGAAAGAATTTGAACAAGACACTCCAAATAATCCATTACTAGCTAAACTCTGAGAAACAAGGTGGTTCTTGTGAGATGTTGACCAGGAGCAGCTGTAGTTTCGGGTTAAAGACCTGATCCGAATTCTCTGCGCTGGACTCCGGGAGCAAGGTACCAACACTGTGATGTGATACACCTGCTTTCCCTTATCTACCTGCCAGGATCTCTCCTGGAACCTGTATTTACAGCAGAAGTCAGGATTATCTACAGGAATTAAGGAGGGGCATCCTTTCAAGATCTCTAAACAACCACTGACTTTTAAAGGGATGTGTAACAAGGCCCCAAATCTATTAACCTCGGCTTTAAAAAAATGTTTCCCATAACAATATCTGCTTCAAGTGCTAAAGGAGAAGATGTGAGGCTTTTTTTTTTTTTTAAATTCCTGCTGCCTATAAGAATGGAAGTAAATAATATTTACTGGGCATCTCTCTCTCCTAAGTGTCAGGCACCATGGAAGGTGCTTACACATGAGTCATTTTATTCCATCCTTACCAGCCCCCTCTCTCTCTCAGTGAGGTGGGTAATATTGTTCCCATTTGACAGATGAGGAAATAGAGCCTCAGAGAAGTTGAGCAGTCTGCTCAAGGAAAAGTAAGCAGAAGCACAAAGATCTACACCCAGGCCTCTCTGACTCCCAAGCTCATCTCCTCCTGTGCTTTCTGTCTAAATCAGCAATTGTCACAAGCCTGACCCTGATTGTTAGAAGTCAGTCAATCACTGATCCAGCCAAGCTCAAGGGCAGTTCTAAAAGCAGCAGCTAGGACTTGGTTTATAAAGGGAACACACACAATGTGCGCAAAAGTACCGCTAGCAGGGCGTGGCACCCAGGTGGTAATCCCCAGTTGGCACGGCTGATTCCCTGAATCAGAACCCCCTGCTCCATGTAATAAAAGTGCAGATTCCACCAATGGAGGAATGGATAAAGAAGATGCGGTGTGTGTATACATATATATATTTACACACACACAATGAAATAGCCATAAAAAAAGACAAAATTGTGCCATTTGTGACAACATGGACGGACCTTGAGCATATTATGCTGAGCGAAATAAGTCAAACAGAGAAAGACAAATACCGTATGATTTGACTCATATGTGGAAGATAAACAAACACACAGATGAGGAGAACAGATTGGTGGTTACCAGAGGAGAAGGGGGTGGGGGAGGGCGAAAGGGGTAAAGGGGCACATATGTATGGTGTCGGATAAAAACTGGACTGTTGGCGGTGAACACGACACAGGCTATACAGAAACTGAAACATAGTGATATACACCTGAAATTTACACAATGTTGTAAGCCAATATGATCCCAATAAAATAATTTTTAAAAAATGTAGATTCTTCAGTCCCATTGAACTAGGGGTGGGAGTCTGGGATCTATCGTTTCAGTAAGCTTCTCAGGTGATTCGTATGCATACGACAGTTTAAGAGCTCTTTACCTTTAGAATTCAGACAACATGGATAAGCAAGTTACAGAGAAGAGTGAGAAGGAAGAAAGTAATCCACAAGACCATCCTCTTCAAAAACAGTATTAGAACGCAGTGGATCTCCTGACTATAATGGAGAAGGTATTTTTGGATAAGACACTGCACTGCAGTTTCTCTTGATACTTGAATTTTTTACAGGTGAGCAACCAAGCCTTGCTGAGTAATGATGAGGGAAGGAAAATATCATTTCACTTCTTGGCTTTTCCCTTCATCTGAACAAAGGTGCCAGTGCAGAAGCTGGCACCACTCACAAAGGTCAGAATTGGGATCAGTATCTGCATTTTGCAAGCATTTCCCTTTGGAAATATATATGACAGTGCGACGTCCTCCACGCCCGGAGATGACCTTTGTTTTCACCCAGAGATGAGCAGAGACTATATCACGCGTACTTGCCTTTCCATCATACATCAGCCTAGGCAGACACACAACCCACTTGTGAAGAAATGGGCTTTTCTTATTAGGTTATGACAGAATCCAAAGACCAAAAGAGACTCAGTGTTTATTTCATCCCAACTCAAATCAGTGTAAACAAAAGAATCTCTCTCCTTTTTAAAGATTAATAAAGAGGTTTATTTTACATAACTGCCTTTGGCAGTTTGGTTAATACCAAATGTATGTTCATTGGCTCAATTTTACATTTTTAAAATATGCTGAGTCAGTTGCAATACACTGATGACATTAATTCTGTACTCCTCTTATTTGTCACTTGGCTCTGTTGCTAATTTTTACTTGATTGCTCCATCTTTCAGAGCCTGGGTGGTCCCTACTTATTCTACTGATAGGAAAACTGAGGGGCAGAGAGTTTACATTCCTTGCCCAAAGTTACCAGCAAGTTATTGGCAGCTGTGCACTCAGCACTCGGGCTTCCCAGATCTTTCTACTGTACCAAGGAGTCAATGATTTACCCTGGAACTTGGGCAAACATGGTTCAAGTTTTCCACAGCTCATCAATTTGTTGCTAAAATAAGAATAGTGCAATGAAAAGCCAAAAGCATGGTTGCACACATTCTGAATAAGGAGGAAATACATATGAAGAAACAAGAGTCTATTTGCCTGAAAAGGTCAAGGGATTCCTCTGCTGCAAAATACGCAGTTTGGAGGGATTCTGGCTTCTCAGATAAAACAGCCTATTGCAAGGTCAGCTGAGAAGTTTCCCATTGTCTTTTACAGTCAAGCAAAGCAGGTTAGCCACATCCCTGAAACTCCAGCGTAGGACAGGAACCAAAAGTTCCATTTTGGATGTATTACTGTGGAAATGCCTATTAGATATCTCAGGTGATAAGACTGGGGGATCGAGACCATTAAGAAAATCTCAGTAACCTTCAGGGCCCCCAAGCAAAGGCCATTACAGGCTGGAAGAGGAAGGCCAAAAAGAGTAGGCAGAGCCCTTCCTTCTAATCCAGAACCAGCCTCGTCTTGCCCAAGCTATCTCCATCTGGGGGACAGACCATGGATCTAGACCATCAGAAACAGAACGTCTGAGAAAGCATGTTTGGGATAAAAATCTCTGTAGCAGGAGACTATCACAACCTGTGACAGCATACTCAGTATGAGTTAGAACTTGCCCGGGGAATCTGAAATATTCAGGATCAACCAGGGAACAAATTTTCCCTCCCAAGAGCCCCCCTCTCTTAACAGCACCACCACTCCCTTAACTAGCCTTAGAAACTAGACCGTGCTGTGCCTGATGGCTTTCAAAGCCCCTACGTCTGTATTATCTCATTTCACTCTCACCAGAGCTCTATGCAGTAGGAAGAACAGGGACTGTCAACCTCATTTTACAAATGGGCAAACTGAGACTCTGAGGAACAAAGTGCCTCATTCAGGGTGACACAGCCAAGAAACAAAGAGTTGGCAGTAAACTAATCAATGCTCTTTACACCCAAACAATCCTCTAATCACCGACGCTGGGAACCTTGCCGTCATCCTTGATCCCACCCTCTCTTTCATCGCCCAATAATTCTGTCTGCTCATCCCTTCACTCAGCAATGAATCCAGCCTTCAATCCCTTTTCTCAGATTGCTGAGTGTTTCCTACTCCCTGGCTCTTTCTTCTTCAATGCAACCTGCAAACAGCAGGCCACTCAAAGAGGTGGAGCATCACTCCCCACTCCTCAAGTGTGGGCTACGCTTGGTGACTTCCTTCCAAAGAGGA